ATTTCCGATACCACAAGGATAAAAACAAAGACCCCAAAATGTAACTGAATTTCGACAGGTTAGTGTCTTTCATTTCAAACTGACCTATTACTGATGTTATCGTGGCCGGTGGCCAACATTAATGACCCTAACCCTGACCCTAACCCTGACCCTAATCCTAACCCTAACCCTGACCCTAACCCTAACCCTCCACCCTTCATAATTGTGAGAAATAAATATTTTTTGGTTAAACTTGTTTGGACTTATTGTACAAACCTATTTAACATCCACTATTTTAAAATAATATTATATGTTTGCAAGATTAATTTAACTGTTTTTAAATTAATGTCTAAATTGCCATTAAGCAATTAGGATTTTCTATCCTGGGATCTTCCTATTGGTGACCTAATCAAAATGGCCGACTTGGATGTGGGGGAGTGGGATATCCATCCTTTGCTTCCTACAAGCTGAAGCCAGACGTACGTTATTAATGTTAGCATGTTATTATTAGCCATTAGCTGCAGCTAGCAATTCAAGGCTAACGTCACGTAAATGATCATAAATAACGTAAATAAATAAATAAATCAGAGAGAAGGGGCGCAGCGTTGGCAGGTCAGTTTGCGCGTGCGTGGGGGGGTGGTATCGATACTTTTGAAAATGAGTATCGTATCCGGATACAACGTTTTAGTATCCATACTTTTTTGACTATCGATACTTTTGACAACCCTAACGGGAGCGCTGTGATGGACTGGTAGACTGTCCAGAGTGACCCCACCTCTCGCCCACTGACCACTGGGATAGACTCCAGTCCCCCCACGACCCCGTTAGGGAATAGGAGGTTATGAAAATGGATGAATGGTTTCTACTGAATCATGACAGAAAATCTTTTGACAATAAAGCTCAGCAAAAATGCAATAAACATGTATTCCATTTTTTTGCTAGGGCTACTGGATGGATACCCATTAGTGGCTGTATTGTAGTAGTTGTTCATTATTGTAGACATAGACATAGACTTCCTTTATTGTCATTGTCAAAAACACAAGGTGAATTAAACAACGAAATGTCAATTTCTTGGCTACCAGAGTAAAATTTTTAGCAACGATAAATCAATAAATATGTTATTGTAGTGATAAATGTGCATATTTCCTGCTCTCCCTGGCAGGATCGGACTCTAACTCGCGTCCGGCCTCCTTCTCGGGGCCTTCGTCGTCCTCGTTTGACCGCTTCACGGACGCCGCGGCCGTGGAGGAGGCTCTGAGCGAGGGCTGCGCGGCCTGCGTCCGCTCCGTCCTGTCGTCCGTCCGCTCCCGGCTGACCGCCGCCGCGCCGGACTCCCCGCCGGTCAGCCTCAGCTCGGTCCTGTTCATGGCCAGGCTGTGCCACTCCCTGGGGGAGCTCTGCCCCAACCTCAAGCACTGCATCATGGGAAAGCGGAGCGCACCGGGGGGCGGGGCCAAAGGGGGCCCCCGGCCGAGCAAGAAGCTGGGGAAGTTTAAGGCCGCCCCCGAGGTCAGCCCCGCCCAGGCCAAGTGGGCCGGCCTGAAGGAGGAGCTCCTCCGCTGCAGCATGGAGGCCTACCGGAGGTGGAGCTCCGCCCGGGCCCAGGTCAGACCTCAGGAGAAATATAGAAGTACTGTAATCCCTCGTTTATCGCGGGGGTTACGTTCCGAAAATGACCCGCGATAAGTGAAATCCGCGAAATAGAAAACTTTTTTTTTTTTTTTTACAATTAGCAACTATTACATGTATACAAATACAGTGTCGCTCTTTTTTCTTCTTTGCAAAAAGATCCTTGTACACCGACATGCCACCATCGATTACGCTGGAGAACTGTAATGAACGGCTCATCAAAGGGTCCCATTCCTCAGCTACTCGCTTAAGTTCAGTGGCCATTCGCACCATGGTTGCTAAGCGACCAAGCGTTAGTCCTATGTTTTGATACAAGAAGCGGGAGTGAGTTTTTAGCGAATCAGAATGCAGAGCACAATGCACCAAAAAAAAAAAAAATGCATTATGAAAATCCGCGAAATAGCGAATCCGCGATAAGTGAACCGCGAAGTGGCGAGGGATCACTGTACAACTGTAATCTGATATGCGGTGTCTGATATGAGGATTGTTTCTGTTCAGGAGCACAGAAACTTTTTTTACTTTTTTTAATTGATTTATTTCTTTAATCAGGACAGTGCACATTAATGAACAATCTCATACAGATTGTAAATGATCCAGATTCTAGCATAGTTGCTAATTTACATCTGTCGTCCTGAGGCAGGAAGACCAGACAACACAAAATCACAAAATACAAAATCAGTCCAAACACACGTTCAGACAATGACATTACAAAATTAAAATCAATTCAATTCAATTTTATTTATATAGCGCCACATCACAACAACAGTTGTCTCACAGCTTTCCAAACAGAGCAGGTCAGACCTACTCTGAAGTTAATTACAGAAACCCAACAATTCCCTGACGCTATGTAGCAGCATAGTAGGAGTAGTGGGTCGTTTTTTTAGCAGGAGAACAAAATAATTACTCAAAAAACCCACCGATTTGGTGACATTTGTTGATTGTGAACATTGTAGCCATTTAAACTTAATCAGGTAGAATTGGTTCAATCTGAATGCAGCCTTGAATAATGTGGGGGCTGAACACTAAACGTTGGTTTTGCTTCGGCAGGTGCTGCTGGATAAGTTTGGCGGGGAGCTCCACGCCGATTCCGCCGGGGCCGTCCTCTCCACCATGACAAACTGGGAGGAGCGGGAGATCCAGGAGGAGACCGAGTCCGGCACCAGCGTCACATCCAAAATCCGCCTTCCCGTCCAGGTGGGGGGGGGGGGGGGGCCCGATCACCCAAAGGGCACAGAGAGCAGGGGCTTCCCCCCCCGTGACGGGCCCCATGCTAACACGTTTCCTCTCGTGTCCTCCTCAGCCGTCCTGGTACGTGCAGGCTCTTCTGTTCGAGCTGTGCGTGGAGGTGAACCGGGTGGGGGGCCACGCCCTCCCCCGGCCCACCCTGCAGGAGCTGCTGCAGCTCTGTCTGGACCAGGCTCTGCAGCACTACCACGGGCTCATGGAGCAGCCCCCCGCGGCGGTAGGTAGAGCATATAAGACTGACCTCAACAACAGGGGGAAATTTCCCTTTTGTATACCTGCAGATGTAGCTTCTTTTTTTTTTGTGGACACTTACAGATTAAAAAAGAGCAATGTCAGCATGTGCCCGGATAGAGAAAGCCAACAATACCAAAAATGTCAGCAGTAATTGAACACGATTCACATTAAAATGTGCTCTTTTTTAAAGAATTCTGCTCATTTTTTTAAAAAATGAAAAAATTGAAACGTAATGATTATTTTGAATGACCTGTTCAAATAGAGGTAACATTTGGAATTGTTGGTTTTCCATTTGGGCCTAATATTCTGCTACAATCTATATGGTAACAAAGAACATTATTGAATAAAATGGGAATACGGACACAGCTCACTTAAGCTTTATGACTTTCTCTCCCTCCCAGGGTGCGTTCCCTATGACTCAGAACAGAGCCTTGCAGATGCTGTTTGACCTGCGATACCTCAGCACCACTCTGAGTTGCAGATTTGAGGAGACAAAGAGCTCCCGCTCCCACCAAGACCCCAGGTACAAACCCATAAGACAGTTTCTTGCAAATGATTGTGATAAAATGGCTTATGGTCTCGGTTATCGTTTCCCAGTTGGCAATCTCATACCATTGCCACACTGTAATAAACATGTTTAAATGTTTTTTTCTTTTTTAAACATGGGGGAACACTTAAAAACCAGCTTATTACAATCTCCCCCATTCTGTGGGGTATCAGGTTTATCGTCAGAGTTCTGAGGGTGAAAACATAGTTATCCTGTAGCTCATATCTGACCACCTAGAGGACAGGAATGGTAGTTGGAAACATTAAAGATGCAGACAACATTATCCTGTGCTGTGTTTTTGAAAATCACTATTCAATCAGGCTCGTTGTTACCTTTGATTGAACTTGCAGACATAACACAGTGTTGTTAAGAAAGAGAATCATCTTCTAGTGGATTTTAGGCAATTTGTTCACCTTTTTTTGTGTATAATTGTGTGTATCTTCTAGATTCCTAAAGATCTGTGATTGGCTGGAGGGATTCATCGATCCCTTTGACTTGGACGTGTTCACACCTCCTCTGAACACCAACCTCAACCGCCTCTCCCAAAGGACCTCGGTACTTACATCCACAGATACATGCTGAAAT